CACTGTATGAAAAAGAATTGGTCGATGTTCAACTATTTCAGGAGTTGGCATGGTCAAGAATCAATGGTACTAAAGGAAGAAGTCAAAGCTGCACTGAAGGAATTGGCAAAAAAACAAGACTTCAGAATTCATAGAATACCCATTGAGATGTTTCAACAAACAGATGCTGCAATAGAGTCACTTACTAGTCTATGCCAACTAATTTGGAAGATAACTACTTGGGCAACTGACTGGAAGTAATCCCTGTTTGTACCCATTCAAAGAAAGGTGATCCAACAGAATGTGGAAATTATTGAACAATATCATTAATATCATATGCTAGTAAAATAATTCAAAAACAGTTGCAGCAGTATATTGACAAGGAACTTCCAGAAATGCAAGCTGGATTCAGAAGAGGATGTGGAATGAGGGATATTGTTGCTGATGTCAAACGAATCTTGACTGAAAGCAAAGAATACCAGAAAGATGTTTACTTGTGTTTTATTGACTATGCAAAAGCATTTGACTGTGTGGGTCGTAACAAATTATGGATAACATTGTAAAGAATGGGAATTCCTGAACACTTAGTTGTGTTCATAAGGAACCTGTACATAGATAAGGAGGCTGTCATTCAAACAGAAGAAGGAGATACTGCATGGTTCAAAACCAAGAAGGATATGCATCAGGGTTGTATCCTATCATCATACTTATTCAATCTGTATGCTGAGCAAATAATCTGAGAAGGTAGACTATATGAAGAAGAATGTGGCATTAGGATGGAGGTAACTCATTAACAACCTGCCTTATGCAGATAACACAACCTTGCTTGCTGAAAGTGAAGCACTTACTGATGAAAATTGAAGACTACAGTCTGCAGTATGGATTACACTTCAACATAAAGAAAACAAAAATCCTCACAACTGTACCAACAAGCAGCATTACAATAAATACAGAAAAGATTGAAGTTGTCAAAGATTTCATATTACTTGCATCCACAATCACCATCCTAGGAAGCAGCAGTCAAGAAATCAGACTTTGTATTGTACTGGACAAATCCACTGCAAAAGACCTCTTTAAAATGTTGAAAAGCAAAGATGTCACTTTGAAGACTAAGGTGCACCTAACCTAAGCCATGATATTTTTAGTCACATATGCATGTGAAAGCTGGACAGTGAATAAAGAAGACCAAGGAAGAGTTGATGGCTTTGAATTTTGGTGTTGATGAATGAAGAATACTGAAAGTACCATGGGCTGCCAGAAGAATGAACAAAGCTGTCCTGGAAGAAGTGCAGCAGGAATGTTTCTTAGCAGTGAGAATGGCCAGACTTTGTCTCATCTACTTTGGTCACATTGTCAGAAGGGGTCATTGCCTGGAGAAGGATATCATGCTTGGTATAGTGGAGGGTCAGCAAAAAAAGGCTAGACCCTCAACAAGATAGATTGACACAGTGGCTGCAACAGTGGTCTCAAGTATAGCAAGGATTGTGAGGATGTTGCAGGACTGGGCAATGTTTTGTGCTGTTCTACACAGGATCACTATGAGTCAGAGCTTGGCATCTAACAACAGCAACACCATAATAGACTACATTTTGTTTATCCATTAATTGATGGATGGAGAGTTGATTTTTATTATAGCAAAGAGTTTGGCTCGACTCCAAACTCTGTCTGCCCTGACGTAGACAGCTATCTGCCAGGCCCCTGGATTTTCTCCTACATATATGTTGATCAGGGCCAGTCAAGGATATTTTGTTAGAGTTTATGTACAGGTTTTATGGTTCCCTCCTCTTCAGCTTCCTATTGTTCAGGATTTCCTCCCTCACTTCCCAGCCATTCTGAAAGCCCTGAACTCCATCGTATGACTCCTCAAGTTAGTAACACTGAGACTTTCTGGCTGTGTTCCAGATACCTCAGACCACACGGAATGGGAAATGCCCTTAAACAAAACACAAAAACACAAATCTTAGCAGTCAGATTCCTTCTTCAAGGATCGATGCATCTCCAGTTTTTTTTCTATTCTTGGTTGCTCTCCAGTGCCTATAAATAACTATTTTTTTTTATATTCTGTCCAGAGTTTATTATTGTTTCTTGTGGGAGGGTTAGCTGATAAAATCTGCTCCACCATTATTGGATACGGAACTCATAATGCCTTAAATTTTACTTGGCAGTATAGATTAGAGGTCCTTGTTGTTGGTAGGTGTCATCAAGTCAGCTCCAACTTATATCAACCCTATGCACAACAGAATGAAACACTGACCAATCCTGCATCATCCTCACAATCCTTACTTTGCTTGAGTCCATCATTACAGCCATTGTGTCAGTCCATTTATTTTGTGTCTTCCTCTTTTTTGCTGACCCTCTACTTTAGCAAGCAAGATACCCTTCTCCAGGGAATGGTCCCTTCTGGCAACATGACCAAAGTAGGTGACACAAAGTTTGGCCATTCTCACTTCCTAGGAGCACTCTGGCTCTTCTTCCAGGACAGATTTGTTTGTTTTCTGGCAGTCCCCATGGTATTTTCAGTACTCTTAGCCAACACCACAATTTAAAGGCATCAGCTCTTCTTTGGTCTTCCTTTCTCATTGTCTAACTTTCACATGCGTATGAGGTAATTTAAAATATCATGGCTTGAGTTAGGCAAACCTTAGATTTCAAAGTGACATCCTCATTCCTTAACACTTTAAAGAGATGCGGTAGAAGCTTACATCGATTTAGCTCCTCCAGTCCTCAGAAACAGTCCTCTCTGCCGACTCCAGATAACTAATTGTATTCAGTAAAGAGAGAATATTGCTATTGACTTGAAGTTGCTTTATCATTGTTAGTGAAGAAGTTAAAATCTTGGAACAGTGGAAATTTTGGAGTTTGAGAGATTTATTGAGATGGGATTCAAGTATCCATTCTTTACTTTTATTATAAAAGTTGGATTTCAAGACTGCTTATATTTTATCACGCTTGGTAATGTGGGGCCAAGCTTGGCAGATAGGCTATAAAATTCAGGCTTATCCCTCTGCCTTTACAAACTAGTCTGTTATTCTATGTCTCTAGAAAAGCAGAAGAAAGGAATTCCTGGAACCAAGGGTACCACCATTCTCTCTCCTACCTTTTGGGCTCATTAACAACAACAACAACAACAATAATAAAAACATCTGTTTCATGAAGCCTTGTCTCATCTTCTGCCTGCCAAGTCATACTTAGTTCTTGAAGTCTCTGTGCGGCCTTTTATTAGTGCCATGAAGGGGCACAAATATATATCATTTAACTTTGTATTCTCATAATCACTTGTGCTTAGTGGGTGCTCAGTACATGTTTGTAAATGGATGTTGAACAACTGAGCATATACTCTGGTGAGAGGAAGTTCTTGGGTCCCTACATTCTGTATGACTATTTTGAATCTTCCTTGCTTCATTTATTCATGAACCCCCACTTGAAAGAACAATAGATAATATTTAAATTTAGTGTTTTAAATTCTGAAAGCTAAGTCTAAGTCCTGAATAAAAGTCATCAGGAATTAAATATATTTTTTCTGTTGATTTTTTAAAACTCTGCCTTAATCATTCTGGACAAAAGAACCAAGAAACAAACCCTGTTTTTCCTCCCAACTCATTCACCCATTAAAAGATTACATATGCCATAAGTAGTTATGTATTTCATATCACCTAGAAATACTTAATTAGTTAGAATAGAATATGAAGCATCTCAGACTATTGATGTCATTACAGATATAATTGGAATGATGTCAGAGTAAAGCATTTTGAAATAAAAATAAGAAGCTTTCCTGATGCACTGTTTTGGTTGTTTTCCTTCATAAAAATGCAGACTATGTGACTTCTCTGGGGAGACTTGTGGCTTCTCGGTATGCTGATGGTCTGTTTCCACAGTTCTGCAGAGCAGAGGACGGCAAAGTATACAATGTAAGTCTGAGTTCCTTGTGGACAGGTGTTTGTGACATGATGCTTATGTCTGAGAGCGGATCATGTGGAGAGGCTTGTGCTGCTTAGCAAGTGATCCAACTGAGCTGAAGCCTCATCAGAGCTGGTAGGTGTTTTTTTTTTTTTTTTTTTTTTGGCAGTATATGCCTTTCTTGTCAGAAGAGTGATGAAAATCACTACCAAGGAGCTGGGGATTAAAGCACTTCACCCTTAGAAATTAGTGCATAAAGCTTCTGACCGGAGTTGAAAATATTTGCACATCAATATTCTGCTTTGCTTTGAAAGTAAAGGAAAAAAGAAATATGATGGAAGTTAGCTGAAAGCCAAAGGCAAGTTGCAGTTACTTGACAGAATCACTAGGAATTGAGGGCAGCTTTTGCAAGTAGAAGAAAAGAGAAGACAAGTGGCACTTCTTATGAGTCCTTCATTTCCAGCAATTCATCAAATGATTCTTATGGCCCTGCCATGTGTCAGGTGCTGTGCTGGCACTGGTGAAACAGATGAAGGACACTGGCCCACCCACTGGGAGCTCACAGACTACTAGAGGCACACGTGCTGTTACGGATTGAATTGTGGCATTCAAAAATATGTGTCATAAATCCTAATCTCTCTGCCTGTGGTTATAATTCCATTTGTGAATGGGGTTTCTTTGTTACGTTAATGAAGCAGGATTAGTATAGGGTGAGTATTGAGTCAGTCTCTTTTGAGATATAAAAGGAGCAGATTAAGGAAGCAGATATGCATGATAGATGCCATACCACATGAAGATCACCAAGGAGCTGAGGAATAGAAGCTGAAAAGAGACAATGACCTTCACCCAGAACCAACAGAGAAAGAGAGCTGGCACTCTGAATTTCTAGCCTCTTAAACTGTGAGAAAATGAACTGAAAGCCATTCACTTATGGTATTTCTGTTTATAGCAGTATTAGATAACTAAGACCCACGCTCATAATGTTGCTTTATGGATATTTGTACCATTATTTCCTGGTGGGATGGTGCCTAAGGCATCTGACTGCTAACCAGAAGGTGGCGGTTCAATCCCACCAGCCACTCCTCGGAAGGAAGATTGGGCAATCTACTTCCATAGTGATACTGCTCCAGAAACCTAAGGAGGGGTTGCTATGAGTGGGGAACAACTAGACAGCAGTGAGTTTATGTTACTTTTTAAATTCAGCCTGGTCCTAAGCAATAATGTCTATGGAATCTTGAGTTTTGTATGCTAAGTGTTATTTTTTTTTTGAACCACATTAGAATTAATACATAACTATTAAAAATGTGTGCCTACCATCTAACATCACCCCTACACAACCCCATGATACTGTCTTATACTGGTTTACATGTTGTAGTAGAGACATTCTGTAAATGCTCTGAAAGCAGAAAGGGAGTTAGAAATCTTGCTTGAAGGAGTCATGGAAAGGGGCAAAGAAGGGATGCTAGAGCTTCAGAAGTGAGCTTGGGAAATATGTGAGGATAGGAAAGGAGAGATACTTAAGGCAGAGGGGGACACAGAAACCACAGTATGAAGATGTGGACGTGTATAGTATGTTCAAGAAACACATTTTTCTTAACACTTTAGGCATCTGGACTGTTCTAGGGGTTATCGAAATAAAAAAAAAAAAAAAAA